AGGATGTGTGATCTTGTCCCTCTCTGAACTCCCATAGCACACATTTCTCTACACTCCTCTGGGGCCCATTTGCTATTTTCTATCAGGGATTTCTATGGTTTATGAACTTCTTTCATTGTCCTTATTCATTTTCAATGGTTATCTCTGAAGGTATTCAGACATTTTAGAGCAGATCTGGATTTAAATTCAGATTTATATTTATTAGCTGTACAACTTGGCACAAATTACTCAACCTCTCTGAACTGTTTCTTCATACAAAGTATGGGAAAAAATAATTTTCTATTTTATAAGATTAAATAAAACAATGTATTAAAGTGCCTAGCATTTAGCAGCTTCTGGGTTAAAAGTGCATTTAAGTAAATGAATAATCAAATGAATAAATGAATAAAGCAAGCAGAATAAGAGTTTCAATGATAAAATAACACTCAATGGTTTGAGACATCTAAATATCCAGGGTCATGCTGATAAATGAGACACTCAGAGAGGAACAGTGGGAACTATGGGAAAATTCAACATCAAAAGGAAAAATATGTCACCCAAATATCAACTCATACTTCCCACACAGGACACCATCTTTTGCTTAACTCACGTATGGCCTTCAGTGTATCTACAAACCTCCTGAAATTTTAGACAGCATTCTTTATAGATGTATATTTCCAGCTATTTCATTGACTCATCTGAGTTTCCAAAATTTCATAATCCTCACCCCTACCCCAAACACATGTTCACATGTGCACACTTGCACACACACATATACAGATAAACTGCCTTAGGCAAATCACCTGATAGAAAGAGACCTGTCTAATGAAAAAGAACAAGATTATTTCCTCAATCAAGGTTGACAAATGCAAACATACTGTTTAGAAATCACGAGCAGTGGAAGTTACAATGATGACCACCCACACCAGATAAAGGGGCTCTGAATTCAAGACCTGGCTTGGCTGCAAGCTTGCTTTGGAACCTGGAGCAAATCTGAGACTCATAAAAATCAGAGTTGAGACAACCTTTGACATCATCTATTCCACAGTCCTCCTCCCACCTCAAAGATGGAGAAATTGTGGCTCAGAGGGAAATCCTCTATTCACTAAAGTCACAGCAAATTAATAAATTTGCAGGATTTGAACCTCAGACTCAGTAAAACAACTTCTATTCTTTGAAGCTCTGTACTGTAAGTTCAAGGTAAATGTTTAGATCCAATGGTCTCTAAGCTATCTTCTATTTGATAGATAATTACTACTCTCTTCTCTGGACATGGAAGTCCCACGTAAACATGAGTTTGGTTTTAGCAAAGGTTACACCAGCTGTTTCTCAGTCCCAGCCCAATCCCACAAGGCAGAGAGAAGGGTCTGAAAAAATGAAAGGCACTGCTATTAATCTTGAGTAGCCCAGCAATTGGGAACTGCAGGCCTTGAACTAGATTTCACTGTGTTGGCTATTACTCTACTGTCCCCTTGCGTATTAATCCCACATCTGTCTTCTCTTTATTAATGTTCCCAAACTATGTGCAGTAAACAGACAGCTAGGAACTCATTCTCAGCTTCCTATAATTCACTGGATCAGAAAAGGGCAGGAGGTGGGTGGAGGAAAGAGTGATGATGTCAGAGTCAAATAACCTCTTCCAGGAAGGACTGCAAGGGAATCCAGTGTCCTAACAAACATAACATGCAGAGGCCAGCCAGAACCCTCTGTGCCACTGCTTCATGCACCTCATGGAATTAAGACACCTGGAGTCTATATATGCATTAAAGACATCTCTCATCCCTGCACTGGCACTAAATTGTTCTGCCTGAAACAATGAATGGCCTTATAAAAAATATTGGGAAAAGACAGTTTATACAAAAAGATTTCTCTGCTTAAACAAAGATACAACTGTGGACTTAGAAGAAAGAATTCTAGTCTAGGATCAGTCACCAACACCCTAGACAAACCAGATTCCCTCTCTGACCCCAAAAGCTCCGTCTCCGAAATAAGAGAATTTGGTTACTTTGATTCTTAAAGTCCCCTCTGGTTTGACATTTTGACCTCTCCTCATAGGTCCAGTGATTCACTCTGGAAAAGTAAAATAACAGAAGGAGAATCTATCTCTTCCCAATAGTTTTAATAGGGAGTAAGTTTACCAAGTTCTCTAAAAATAAGGTCCAGATCATGGAACAGTGTCATAGCATAGAGTAACATGGGGGAAGATGGATTTATTCTTTCCTTTTCGGATCAGAAATTGCAAGTTGCTGGGGGGTAAGTGACGACCAATGTATAAATGCCGAGTTATACAGTACATATAATCCAAATTACTAACTTCTCTTCTGGTATCTAAAAGAAGCAAAGCAGAGCAGAAGAATAACTCTGTTCACACACTAGCTCTGTAGTAGAGCCACAGGACTTTCCTATGATTTTGGAAACACGGCAGCAGGAAGGAGAAGGGGCTGGCCAGGAAATAAAACCATAGATAATAGAACATTTAACTGAAAGTAATGCCACAATCAATCGGTGCAACTGTGTTTGTTGTTAGATGCTGAAACAGACCTCACAGAGGAAGGTGCCTTGCCCAAGGTGACACGGCCAGTTGGCATCAGCGCCGGGATTAGAATTAGATTCTCCTGGCTTTTGGCTCACGTAACATACAACACACTGCTTCCCTCACCAAAACAATGAGATTCTACCCAGGTAATGAAAGAAATAATTTCACTTATAACCACTGCCTCTAACTCCATTTCTAAAAAACAGTAACTGATTAATTTTATTTAAGGCAGACAAGGACTATTTCCACCAAATTATAATAAACAATTCACTCTGGCAATGCAGACAAGTCCATGAGAATTAATTGGGTATTATTCATCCTTGCTAATGAATCACCCTGTGGAAAACAGGGATAATCAACGGTCTACAGGAGGCCAGAAGCCTGTTCTTGTTCAAGTACAGATCTTGCCTATTAAAGAACATTAGGTATCAGCTCTAAATAGTAAACAGGGTATACTGTTTCAGATCCCATGAAGTGCAGCTTTAAATAGATTTGGTTTGGAAATGGGACAAGGAACACACCGCAGTCGGTGGATCAACATTGAAAGCAGAGAAAAACAATGATTACACTCATTAAGTGGGTACCTGTTGACACATCTACTGTCAAGTCTAATTATTTATTTAAACTGTTATTCTTTCTTCATTACTGCCACTGATACCAATTATTACCACAAGATTATTTTAAATTTCTACAGCATGCCCCCAGAATATTTGCTTCTCCACCTTCCAAAGGTTATTTGAGAAGTCTCTATCCTTCCCTCCCACTAGCCTCACCTCCAAAATACAGAGTAGGGGGGATGGGGAGAAAGAGAGAGAGAAGGAAGTGGGGAGTAGAAGGGGGGAGAGAGGGCAGAAGGGAGAGAGAGAATTCATTTTTCTCAAGAGTGATTTTTTTGTAAACTTTCAAGCTTTGCTCAGAAGTTGTAGTTTCGAGATGGGTTTCCCTGGGGAAGGGGGGCACAGTTAACTACTTTTCACAGCTTATTCTATTAATATTTAACAACTGACATCTGGGGGAAGGTTAGTACGATAACTGCAGTTTCTAAATTAACAAGTTAGATCTCTGCCTCACAGAGCTATCAAAAACTATGATGTAGATATCTACAGTACATTATTTTCTGATATATTTATCCATAAAAATAATACTTCTTTAGAAAGAAGTATAGAAAGAACTGCTTTAGAAAGAAGTTTTTGCAGGGGCTTTTTATGGACTAGAGAGAGACTAAAAGATGGGCAGACACCTTTTCTGTATTTTTTGCTAGCTTTTTCCTTTTTCTTTGAATCAATGCTTTCTTTTGTAGGAATGAAAAGAAAATCTAAATAACTCTATGCCTGATTTAATTACTGGAGTTTCATAGTCCATACAAAACTGACCTTGTATGCAAAATAGTAGATTCGAAAAATCATGTTAACCTAACACCATAATTTCCACTCAATTCCAAATCATCGAAGTCCCACAAATATGGGACAATATCAATCAACTTCATTTTTTTCAAAGGTCTGTGCAACTAAAGTCATGTTTGCAGTTCAAAATCATCAATATAATATACCAAAGGAATTAATAAAATATCAGCAGAACAAACGTTTACAGTACTATAAATAGTGTTATCAAATCTTCTACAAAGCTACTATTCTACGAGACCTACAGTCGGGAACACCATATTCCCTACTTCCTCTCTGTTTGGTTCAGATTTATAAAAGATTACACAGAACACAGTAGAGCTCCCTAGGAGGTACAGATATCAGCAAATTCGCTGCAGGTGAAAAAACCCACATTTTGCAAATTTTACAACTATCATGCTTCCTTTAAAGTTTTTTTTCCATTATCTTCTGTTTTCTAGACAAACTTAAGATGAATGTATTCTTCTCCCAGAGGCTGATCTTCACAATAGTCTGCCAGCAGAATGGCACACATATACTATGGGCCTAGGGATTCAATGATTCTAACTAATTTTCTATGTCCTTAGGATTTTTTTGTTGCAGCCTTGGTTTTATCTTTTTGAGATGATTTATTCCGCAGCTAAGAAACAGTGACTGACCCAACTAGTAATGTTTGGCCCCTTCAGAGCCAGGTAACACAGACAGCATAGTGTAGTGAAAAATGCACTCAATCGAGGGCCAGGAAACTAGGTAAAAAGCCCTCCTGCCTTGCACTAGCTAGGAATAGAATAAAATAATGGGTAAGAACATTCTAGCACATAGCATTTCATGGACACTGAGATATGTTAAATCTGAATCTTTGGTGTAGCCCAAATTTTTGTGCTTTTGATATTGAACCTTAATGGCTAGGAATTGAAAGGGCAAATTAAATCAAGAAGACAAAATTTTAAAAAAGGAGGGAAGCTCACTGTCTTGGCCATTTTTCGGGATTTGTTGTTCATGAAGTACTCTTGTATTTCTTCTATTGGAAATAAAATCAGCTTTACACAGTATCAGCTCAGACGCCTATTAGAATTTCATAAATGAAGACGCTGATCCTCTCTTACCTCAGACAGCTGGCTCTTGGAATGGTCAGTGGACACACGGTTCAGCCAACTCAAACGCTAGTATCTGCAAATGTAATAGGTAAAAGTTACTCCCAGGCACGAAGCCTATGTTTATTCATAATTATAACTTATTTTATCTATATAGTGGATTCTTGTTTTGCAAAACACTTGCATATTCATCTCACCACACAGCCCAGTGAAGAAGCAAGAAGGAATTATTCTAATTCACTTCCTAGGTGAAAAAACAGGAGCTCACAGAGGGACAGGTAAGATGAGATGAAAACTAACACATCTCTTATGACTAACTTCACAAATACCATGTAAAATGGGCTATTATTGTCCTTATTTTAAAGGTGTAGAAACTGAAGTTCAGGAAAAGTAAGTAACTTGCCCAAAACTACACAGTACAGTATGTGGTGGAGCACAAGTTTGGAACCAGGGGCTCTGTCTGACCCAGTAATCTTTGCTTTCTACCTTAGTTTCTCCCACGTTATTAGATTGGGAAAAACAACAACTCATTGACTTGATTCACAAGAGTTGGTGGTGTGAGAATAACAAAGTAAAACCAGCTATTTGTTTGACATGAGGAAGTGGGAAAAGCACATGGGATTTAGAACCTGTCAGACTTGTCTTCCTCTTACCAATGGCCTTAGGCAATTATTTAAACTGAGTGTCAATTTCCTTATATGTAAATGAAGATTATAACATACACTTCATAGCCAAATCTGTCCTAAGTTCTACTTTTTTTAGAACATTTTCTTCAATTATCCCATATCTATAGATACGTACAACGGTATTTCTTCCCATGAGTCCATGTTTACCTGATTAAAGGATAATTTTATAAGCATGAAATACTAGAGAATATCTCTGAATGGGTTATTTCTTTGACTTATGCTTCATAGTTCTAAAACACCACAATATTTATCTATGTCAATCTCACATGATCTCACCTAACAATAAACAACACAAAGAATTTTTATTTCAAAAGACAAGTGTTCAAGATAAAAAATATCAAATGTCTCCAAAAAGCAAAAGACATACTGCTTTAGATGAAAGACCTAAAGCATCATTTTAAAGTTTGTGCCTTAGGTACAGAGACATGGAGCTTCCAATCTGACTGCCAGAACAAAGGGAATTTGTTTTAATATTATAGAATGGATAGATTTATTAAGAAGTATGACTTCTGGGAAGTTTTCTTAAAATGTCCTATTTTCATAAAGAACTCAAATCAGATTAAGAAAAGAGCATGGTTAATAAGATGCCCTGCAAGAACCTCGTTGTCTGCCACTAAACTCAAAACATTAATCACCTTTTAACATTATACTTTAAAGTTTGGAAAAATTACATGACCATAATGTCTTCAATCACCCTCATTAATACCTCCATTGAGAGCTTATTACCCCAATTTTAGAAATACAGAAACCAAACCTCAGGGATCACATGGCTAACAAAGAACAAATAAAAATTTAACATTGTATCTTGATACCAAAACTAGTAAACACCCTTCTACTACACGATGTAGCTTCCCACTTGAGAATATGCTATCTGTAGAGAGTAACTTTACAACTTCAGAAAAGGGAAAACCAATCCCTAACATAGAAAATTCAATTGTTAAAGCTCTATAAAGCACATGCATTACGGTTCTGAGCTCTGCTTCACTAGCAAGTGAAAGGAGGAAGAGGAGACTTCACATCTGTGGTCTAACCAGAAGGTAACATGTTACTAAGCTGAGGTAAAAGGAGTGTTCAGTGCAAGGTTACCATGAACACTTTCTCAGATCTCCCCAGTGAAGTTTCAGAGATGCAACATCCTTGGGCAAAGTGTTGAAACACAAGCCACATAAACAAGAGAAGTCTGCACCAGTGAGTTTTTGTGAAGAATCATTCATCAATAAGCCTCATGTTAAGTAACAGAAAAGCTGAAGCCTTCTAGCTAAATTCACCGTCCTCTTCACATTGTTTGAGTGCCATGTGTCCTCAGTAGCTCCTGGGCATTTCACAACACAGTGGAGTTCTCCATAAACCCAGAAAGACATCTGGGACAACCGACAGATCCCACTCTAGCCTCTTGGTAGTGAAGCCAGTTATCCTTGGCTGCCTCTGTATATTTTACAACTGGCATATCTACATCCTTTGTCAACCATCCATCCTCCTCCCCCAAAAAATGTCCTTACCCTCATAAGTAATTTTACCAAAAATAAAGAAATCTGTATAATCCACTTCAAACTTGCAAAACTTCAACCTATTAATTAGAATATATGCAAAGCAAGACTCATTAAACCTAATGGAGACTTCTAGAAGATATTAGTAATTTCTACTATATTTTGGGAAGAGAACAGGAACAGAATAAATGAAGCCAAGAAAAAAAGAGAGAAGTAATGACAGGGAGTAAGAAAAAAGCAGAAGGGAATGGAAGAACATTGGAAATTAAGAGAACACAAAAACCTATTTCAACAGATTTGTCACAAACCTTGGTATGCTTTGGATCTACCACTGTACCCCAAGACAAATTCAAAGAAAAATAACCCTAGGATGATGATCCTAATATTAAGAACAAAAGTTCTGACTAAGTAGCATTGGACCAGTATAAAGATAACTCATAATACTTGATATTTTGTAAGTGTTATAGTACCAATGAGTAATATAACAGTATCTTACAAAAACTTCCACTAAGCCAGTAAATTGGTGACTCTTTAGCCCTACCATCCCAGATGTTCATTCTGAGTAGGGGGCACCATTTTGAAAAGAACTATGGAACAGTGATTGAGAACCTGAGTTCTGGTCTTAGTGCTATAATTTCCAAATCTTTTTATTAGAAGTTGTATAAAATATATATTATCAAGTTTTTATTTTCATAGGTCTTGACAATTATCATCTTAAAACCACTGTGCAAAGTCCAAGGATTATTTTGTCTAGATTTTATGCATTTTTGTAAGTTTCACATGGCAGTGGAGGTGGTAGAAAGAGGATTACTTATATTAAGTTTAAATTAAACAATGTTTTAAACATAGAAATCTGTTCCCAGAAGAAGCTGAAATGTTAGATTAGGCCAAAAGCATGAGATGACAAACATGGAATCTCCTGCACTCCAACCATCCTCTATTACACATACAATTTTAAATGTGCTCTCGCTCCCACTACCCTAAGATACTTATCAAGAATATAAGATATTCCATAGCTTATGAATGATTTGGTTGTCTCATTAAAGTAATGTTTGCCAGCATTTAATTGCTTCCCTCCCTGATTTTAATTTCCTCACCTGTCAGCATCTATCAGAAGCACTGAAATCTTCTGACATCCTGGCTGATTGTGTTGAAATTAATCAGATTTTTTAGAGTAAATTGCTTTGGCCTAAAGGTAATGCTTAACTTCTTAATGTGATATTTATAAGGGTTCTATCAATGAAACTTATAATCTAGAAATTAAATGAGAGACGTTAGTAATCCTGAGAAATGAAAGAAGCTTAAAAATCTCCAGCACTGGACTTTGAAAGATAAGTACTGTAAGAGTGGTGTTGGCAAAGTCGCCAACAAGCCCCAGTGCACATCGCCCTCACAAAGACAGCTAGAACAACAATAAACAACTACACTCTAATGAAAATAACTAACAGAGAGCACCAGAAGGTATAACAGGGGAGAAATAGAAACCTTGTGCTTGGTTAGCACAGAAACGCAGGATAACCAAAGAGAGAATGGACGGAAACACCAGACCTTACTCACCCCATCCCCCACGCGGGGATTAGCTGGCAACCAGGAGGAACTGCAGCAAGAAGGTGAGCAAGAGTATCCAAGGAAGCCCCATCAGCACCTTGGATACCTACAGATCTCAGCCCTGGGGTCAGCTACAGTCCTCACAGAAGTCCACACAGCTGTGCTCCCCCAAAGAAAAAGCCAATACTGTGCCCTGCCCCCTGTGCCCTGCACAGCTACTGCATCATACCACCTCGGAAGTGGAAATATAGCTGGACTGTGTCTTCCTTCAGGGGTGAGTAGCTGAAGCACCCCAGCTCAGTGGCCCAACATCCCCAAACCAAGCTGTGAGCAGCTGTTACACTCTTCCCTGTGGGGCCAAGTGCAGGTAGAGTCGCTCTACCTTCCCCTCCCCATCCTTCAGACTGGAGCTGAAGCAGTACCCTGCCTCCTGGGAAAATTGTACCATGGCCACTCAGAGTAGTCACCCAGCCCAGAACTTAAGCTGAAGTGGCACCCTACATCCCAGGGAAATGGTGCCTGGGCCACCTAGAACAATCATACCTGCCTCCCAGGCCTAAGCTGAAGTGACATATTGTCCCCTGGGGAATTGGTGCCCTGGCTGAGCTGAACAGCTGTGCATCCCAGGGCTGAGCAGACATGATACCCTACATCCTAGGAAAACAGAGCAGTGGCTGAGTTGAGCTACCCTGCCCTATAGGCTGCTTCCCTGGAGTTGGTCTAAGGCCCTAGTGTCAGAGCTGCTGAAACACTGCTCTCCCTGGGGAGGAGAGTCATCGCTGTGCTGTTCCCTTCCCCAGCAGTGCCCAAATGACAGCTGTGCTTTGCCATCCTGGGATATTGCTGCTGCTGCACCTGGCCTCACAGAGTGTAGGGTATTGCTGAGTCCTACCTTCCCAGGGTCCAGAATCACTGCTACACAGTGCCTCATCCCCCGGGAACCCAAGTTGTCATGGAGCCCAATTGGCTGTTTCCCAAATTGCAGCCATAGCCTGCTCACTAGGCAAAAACCTCCAGAGCACTCCTTTTACCCTGGATTTGGGCCAGTGCTGTGTCTATTCCCCAGGGGCAGAATCAGCTGAACATGAGCTGCTAGAGGGGTGCCTCTCAGTCACAGGTCCTGGCTCTGTGGACGACCTACATCCAAACCTAAAGAGAGTTAACATGCAGCCCAACACCCAGGTGCCACTATAGATCAGAAAGACTCTGGACCTAGGACACTGGCCTCACAGCTGCTCTGACGACCTGTACCTGAAACCCAGCACTGCTATAGATCTTTATAGCCCATGTCATAACTGACACCAAGAGGCATCCACCTAGCTAAGTCTCCCCATGAGAGGAAAATGAGAATAGGA